ACAATGAATGAATGAATGAAAGCAAAAGTGCCTCTCCACATTAGAGGGTAGACCAAATAAGTAGCAATAGTAACAAGAACACATAGTAATAGAAAGTAAGAATAATACAATAAAAAAAAACATTTACTGAGCAACTCTATATCAGAGGCTTGCCACTACCTAAATGCCTTACTCAGGTTGCTTATAAAAGTCGTAGAACTGATTTGCAAGTTAGATGTTATTATCCTCCTTTCAGATGAAAAAAGACTTAACTTGCCCAGTCATAAGACTTGTAAGTGCTTGAACTGTGAGCGGAGCCCCCTCGCACAGAGCTTTCCCTGTGCAGCTCTGACCTACGGGTAGTGGCTTAGGGTGGCGGAGAACTTGGGGTGTAACCAGAAAGCGTGTCCAGATAGATTAGCAATGTCTTCCAGGAGCGTAAATAAGCACTGGGGTCCAGTGTAAGCTGGACTTACTGGCTGCTTTACAGTCTCAAAGAGTAACTTAGGGAAGAAAAGATGTTTCCTCATCTTGATGTATGAGATGTGTTTGAAAAATATAGTGAATATTTAAATTTCAAGAAATTTATTACTGTAAAAGACACACTGCATTAATTTCCTTAAAAATACCTCCTCCGGTTGGATCACACTCCTCCCATCACTCTTGCCACTTTCTGAAGCAGTTCTGGAACCCTCTTTCATGAGTGTCTTTAGTGGGAGTGTCGTGACTTCCTCAATGTCCTGAATCCATTCAAAGCACTTGACCTTCCATGATCATTTTGACTTTGGGGAGGAGCCAGAAGTTACACCTGTCAGATCCAGTGAATAAGGAGGATGAGGACACAGCGTCATGTTTTTACAAGTCTGCCTTTCTGTTGGATGGCGGCAGCAGCAGCCTGGACTGTAGTTTTGATTATACCTCCTAGAGACACTCATGACGAAAGAGTTGCAGAACTGCTTCAGAAAGTGGCAAGAATGATGAGATAAGCATGTTTGGATCCACAAGAAGTATTTTGGGGGAATAACAGCACTGTCTTTTTACTGTAATAATTTTTTAAATATTTAAATATATTCAGCTGGGCATGGTGGCACATTCCTATAATCCCAGCACTTAGGAGGCCGAAGCAGGAGGATTGCCGTGAGTTTGAGGCCAGCCTGAACTGCATATGGAGACCTTGCCTCAAAAAAGACCAAAAATATTAAACATTCAACTGTATATTTTGATTACACCCTATATATTTTGGTAATGTGTCATCATGTTATTTTTCTATAATAAAAGATGCCTGGTTCCAGAGTGTGCAGTGGCCGCAGTGTACCAGGGGCAGACAGTGGCTTCCCATAGATCATAACCATCCCCTTGGCCGAACAGCCCCCTGCCCCTGCAGTTGCACTGTGACACCACAACAATGCGCCTTTGCCCACAGATACATGGGCCCAATGGCTGGCACTGACAGTTTCCTGAAAAGTGCCACTGTCCTTGTTTTGAGTCAGCCTTATTGTTCTGAGTTCAGGGGATGAGGCATATGTCCAGATATGGACAATTATATGTGCTGTACACTTCTCGTCAGCATTACGGTGGGCGGGACCCTGATATCAAAACCCTCAGTTCTACTATGCTCTGAGTTGACCTGTCATAATCCTCCAACTGAATGCCTATTCTCCCCTTACTCAAAGACCACTTCCTCTGATGTCTTCCAGGACCATTGCATCAGTTAGAATTAGGGTATTGATCTTTGTCACCCGGCACTTAAAACCATGCCAATAAATACTTAACAATTGAAAAGATAAATTACCTTGTAACTAGGTTGGAAATTGGGAGTCAGCGAAAGGGAAATAACTATTCCAAAGGTTCTTTCTTCAGATCTGCTGCAGTCCCTCATAGAGCTCGCAGGCTGGTACCAAGGATAGTAAAGAAACTGGGCAGTGTGATTTCTGCATTTGGTGAGCTGGCACCGATAGAGAAGAGGCTTTGTAAGATATCCTTGATAAGTCACAACAAGCATAGATCTGGGGTTAGTGAGCAAAGGCCAATGTATTTTGAAAGTGTTTTATTTGTGACTCTACTTATTTTTGGCTTTTATGAGTCATTGATGTCTTCCCCACTGGTATATGAAAAGCATCTAAATGATGTAATACGTCGTCCACTAGCTCTGTCTAGGACTGTATGTGTTGTATAGCCACAGGGAATTTTTGCACAAAATCTTAACTAGTGTTCAAGTTTCTACTGAAAATTACACCTTGTGTGTGGTGTCTGCCAGGATGCTTTGTGTCTGCATATACTAGACAACAAAATTCCAGATGGCTTATATAGTAAGGAAGATTTATTGTCTCAGAAGCATGTGATGATGAGGTGAGGTCACTGAAAAAGACTGGTTCATTCATCAGCTCAGACTCACCCTTGGCCATTTTGCTGCCTCTTGAGTTGGCGTTGTTCTCAGGGATGCTCCCTGAGGGTTCCAAGAAGGCTGCTGGTTTTCAGACAATGCACCTTAAAAGGTGAGGAAACCTTCCCCAACCCCCAGCAGCCCTCTCATGTCACACTGGGTAGAACTGGCCCACCCTAAGAAGTCACTGGTAAGGAAAATAGGATACTAAACAGGCCTGGATATTTAAAATTTACTCACAAACTAAAGATAAGATGACTTTCCTTGGAATCAAGTTAGAAGAGCCTTAGGATTCTCTCAGTGTGAAGAAGGAGAAAGCTGATTGACTCAGGCAATCAGCTCTGCCTGGTTTGAATGCGTGGCTGCAGCACAACCTCCATCTTTCCATATTACCTTGCATAGCAGCAAATCAAAGTGTCCACAGTACTTTGCCTCAATTTGGTGATTTGGGCAACTTTTCACATTAAAATTTAGCCATCATCTAGTGAAGAAAACACAAAGCAGAAAAGTTTGGGTAAGATCAAAGATCTCCATTATCCTGCTGTACCAGTGAAATCCAACTCCTGTCCCCAAGTTAGAACCACTGATTGACTGCAAAGGCTTAGGTCATTCTGTGTTAGTCAGATTCGCATCTCTGTGACAAATACCTGTGGTAAATCAACATATAAGGAAGAAATATCTAATTAGGCTCCTGGTTTCATGCTGTGGTTTCTTGGCCTTATTTCTTCCGGCCTGTTGTGGCACACAGCGTCATACCTGGTGTACATAGTGGAGATGCTCTGTTCATTTACATCACGGTGGCTGGGAAGCAAAGAGGGAGGAAGGAAGCAGAGTCCCAAGATCCCTCTCACAGTTATTCCCTCAGTGATCCAACTTCCTTCTGCTAGACCCACTTCCTTTCCAGGTTCTGCCACTTCCCAATAGCATTTGAGACTGGTGACCAGACCTTTACCACACAGCCCATGGGGTCCATTCAGAATCCAAGCCATAGCATTGCTCTAGGAGAAGACGTTTATTTCAGATAAGAAAGTGAAAAGGAGCCAGCCTTGGAGCGAACCATGGAGCAAAAGCTCCCCACTCACAGAACATTACATTTCAAAGGCCCTGGGGCAGAAAACTGAAAACATCTGAAAGGGCTAGAATGGCTGGCACAGGTGAGCAGGAGGAAGGTGGCAAGTGACAGTGAAGATGGGGAGAATTTACAAGTTCTGCAGAGCCTCCCAGGTCCTGGTAAGGAGTTAGAGGTTCTGCTCTAGAGATGGGAGGATCACTGAAGTATTAAATGGGATCCAGTGTAAAATAGCAACAATCTTGTGTGTTGAGAAGAGCAACGCTATTTCATTTAGACCTTATGGCTTTGGAGAAGCTATTTATCAAGAGTCAGTTTGACAGACGGTGGCCAAGAACTGAACTTCATCACTTTGATTCTGTGTAAAGTTGACCAGTTGTTCTATTTGGTGGACACATTTTGTGGACAAGTCAAGCTAGTGGAATGATTATGCCAGAGAAACTCTTAAGATATGTTGAATAAAAGAATGCCTCTGTTTTCTCTTGGAATACCTAAAGAAAGCTCCATTTCCCAGTTGGGTAAAGTTGTCACTTAGTTCCACAGCGGCGTACACATTTATTTCTAAAATGACTTCTAGAAGTGACGGTGCTCTTTGGGCAGACGGAGGCCAGGCGGACCCATCTCCAGCATGAGGCTGGCAGCTCTCTTTCCAGGTTGGCTGTGGCTTGCCTTCTTGGGGTACACACTTAAGAGGCTCTCTCTGCAATGGAGTCTGCCTGTGCCAATCACTTCATCCTTGCACACTTCATTTGTATCATTGAACCAACACATTCCAGAGCTGCCTTATTTTCTTAGCAGGAGATTGGGGAGAAAAATCCTGTACAGTGTAAGATTTGCTTTTGGAGGAGCTCCTCATATTTTCAGCAGGCTTTCTTTCCTCTGGTCAGCAACCTCTGTGGACCCCCAAACCTCTGTGGAGGCCAGTGTATTGAAGGACAGCGTTGGATGGTGTTGGTCTGTGGTTCTGGAGAGCTCAGAGCTGAACACTCAGTGCTTCCTAGAGGGGGCTTCCAACTGGAGGTGGCATTGAGCTCAGCCTTTGGGACCTTCCTTCTGGCTTCTTTGAGACGGGGCACAGCAGTTGGGAGGGGACCACCTGGAACAGTGGCTTAGGTCTGGCTGCAGGAACCCAGTGCAAAGCCAAGGCAACCAATCCAGATATAAAGGAACAGCTGGTTTAAAGAGGGTGATGGATTTACAGAGAGGAGAGCCAGTGCGGCTTAGGGAATGACTGGACAGAACTGAGATAATTCAAGTTGGCAGCTCCCCAAGGAAGTGTCCTTCTGGTGGACCACAAAGCTCACCGGTTCCTTGTCCATCCTGCTCTGGCTGTATCTCATTCTGGTGAAGAGTGAGTGGGTCATGTATGGTCTTCAGAACAAGGCACTGCAAATCTGATTTCCTCTTGTTCACAGAACACGCAAAGATGCTTTGAGTTAAATACCAATCATTGTGATTCTTCTATGCCTATTTCTAGCCAATGGTCAAGCCCACTCCTCAAAGTATGGCTATGCCAGAAGTGAAATGATTTCCCTAACCGCTGTTATCTTTTCTCTCTTTGACATGAAGTATATTCGGTGCTCTTCGAACTGGTGCTTACATGGTGTACATTCTGATGACCAAAGGCCTGAAGCAATCAGTCTGTGACCAGAGCTTTTACAACGGGCCCGTCAGCAAATTCTGGGCTTACGCGTTTGTGCTAAGCAAAGCGCCAGAACTAGGTGAGTGTCCCCCTCCTCCCCGCCCTCTCTTTACACCCTCACATCCACCCTGTTTATTTGAAAAAGCACAAGGCAGCAGTCGGAAAGTCTCCCTTTGTTTGGTTGCCGGAAAATTACAGTGAATGAACCTTGAGTTTGCCCTTGCTTTTGTCTCTCCCACACTTTTAGGTAACTGCACTGTGTACATTAACAGCTAATGAGTCCACACAGAGTGTGCTGATTTCCAAGCGCTGCTACAGACGCACTGCGCTGTCATGGGCTTTTGAAATATACACAGCTCCTGTCTAAGCTCCTTTAACAGCTGAGCTAACATTAGAAGCAACCCGGCTAGTTCCAAGTCGCATGTTTAAGCGTGCTTTCATCTTTTGAGTTGAGATTCAGATTAGCAAGTTAAACTTTCATTTGGGTGTCCTTATGTTCTCACTATCAAATGCTAATTGTGAGTCTCTATATTTGATAATCTCTCTCTATTTGATTTTAATCATCAATGACACTGGCCCTGAGGAAAGGGAATGTAGGTCATCTTCTAAAAAGTAACAGAAAATTCTAACTGAGCATATTTGTAGATTTCTAGGGTTTTTCATACTCCTGTGTTACTGCAGGAGTCCTCACTGACATGTCAGTGTCGGCAGCCAAGCCACTTGGCCACTGCATGCCAGAAGCCTGCCTCCTACAGGGGGCTGGCAGTTGTCATCCCAGATCAAAGACAAGAGCAGAACAATAGCAGAAAACTAGTTCTAAAACCTTTCCTGGCTGAGCGTGGTAGTGCACACCCATAATCCCAGAACTTGGAAGGCTGAGACAGGAGGATCGTCATGAGATCGAGGCCAGCATGGATACACGGAGATGTAAGCCTTTCTTAAGAAGGGCAGGGGTCCAAAGATAAAGGCTTTGCATTGTCCAAAATAACTAGGTGACCTTTGTGTGTGAGCACCATGTACACCATCTTTGAAAACAGATTCTTGGAGTAAAATATACTAATGTAGGCTCATTCAGTTATTCAGTAAGTTTATATATTTATATACAGTATCTACCATCAGCCAGACAATTAATAGGGCTAGAATAGAATGGCTACTTCACCTAGAAGAATTTTGTAATTTGAATTTTTTGGACCAGGCTTCTGGAAGCTAATTTTTATATTTGTTTGGAGATGAGTAGGGGAAAAGTCTTAGGCTAGAGAAATAATTTTCAAACTTGGACCTACAGACGGTTCCTGAAAACCTATAGGCGTGCTTTTAGGGGTTATTTAATGATCTGAGAATATTGTCAGTTTGTATTTTCACTTGTTGATAAAATAAGAGATTGTCTTGCCTGGCATATTTCTTTTAAGTGGCCTTTTAAAAAGATAGATTTATAAGGTTTCTGAACCAAAGCACTTGTTCTCCAAGTTGGTCTGAGAGAATGTGAGCTTATATTCTTTACTCCTGGGGATTTGTGATTTTTTCTTTAAATTCCTCCATTAGTAAAATTTGAGACTCCTTCAAGTTTAGAAGTATGTCCCCCTGATTTTCTTCTATGCCACAGGGGACTGCCACATTATTATAATCCTGGACTGACTGCAGATACTCGGATGTCTTCAGTGCGTGGAAGTCATGATTTCACTTTAGTGCCAATCCTGAACATGTTTCTACCTCTTACAACTTTGAACAGAATTTGTGTTAAGTCAGACATGGTGTCTTAGTTCTTGCTCTTAAGCCATGATTAGAGAGAAACCGCCTCAGTCCTTGGTTCTAGCAAGGCTTTTTCTCTGAAAGAATTCCTTCCGTGGTGTTCTGTGTTTGCCCAGTTCTCCTTGAGGGACTTGAGAGGACTTTGAGGACTAAAGAGCCACTGAGGCTGTCCATCAAGTGAGTTTCCTCCAATCCCACAGCCACACTTCTGCTCTCAGTTCTCCTGATTTCCAGTCCAGCGATCCAAGCCACGGGTGTAGGAGAATGGCACACAGAGCTAGGGTTTCCTGGAGAACTGGCTGTGTGGGGCTGAGTGTCCCCCAGACCTCAGCCTCGGTGCTGGTTGGTCTTGTGCTGCTGACTCCCCAGTCACCCTTGTGCACTTAGTCCAGGCCACACTTCCCACTCCCTCTGAAGACAGCTGACCGAGCCTCTTCTGCCTGAGCCCCGGTCTATGGCTGGCAGCCACTCCTGGTTTGTGCTGGCGCAAACCTCCTTCCCCGAGTGAGGCTCATTCATCTGTAGATGATCTTATAGACCATCCTTTCCCAGTTACAGTATGGCATTGAGGCGCAGACCTTGGGCAGAAATACTGGGGCAAAGATACCCTAATCTTGACATAGTTCTCATCAAGTTCTAGATTCTTTATGGGAGTCGTTCCATGTCTTGCACCTTTTTAAATTTAAAAATATGACATGCTGTCCTTTGGATCACTCTAGAGCTGGCTTGGCAGTGGCCTCGCAGAGGTAAACTGCTGAGCCAGAGAGCTTGTGAACTTCAGCACAGGTGTCTCTGAGACAGCCAGCCCTGGCGCTCATCTCTTGCATGTTTCCCCGGATGCCTTCACATGCGTTTGAGAGTTAAATTCCTTCTCAGTTTCTCATTACTACCATTTAATTTTAAAAAGCCTTAACCATGTGAATTACTTAGAACTTATTTTTTGGTTGCAGGTTCTGCCTTTTAATATTCTAAGAATCTAGACTCCCTTATACAATACAAGAAAGGAAAGATTTTACAAGAAAAATAGAACAATTCTCCCACATATGCTCAACAGTGAAACCCCCACACACACAAATCACAGCTGCAGTTGCACTAAGCTCTTCTTTTTTTTCTTAACTGCAGTAAAATGCGCATGCTTACATTGCTATGTGACTATCATACTGTCCATCTCCAGGACTTCTGCATCTCCCCCGATGAAACTCTGTACTCTTTAAACAGTTAATGCCCCTGTTTTTTCTTCGCTAAACTCTTGATGATAGCAAGAAGGGTTCTCTGTGTCCGCAGAAAACTGAGCTTGTTTCACTGCATTTCAGGGTTACTCTCTCCTAGAGCACAGGAGAGAAAGAGGGCTACCACTCTGCCTTGTGTCCCAAGTCTTTGGTGCCTGCTGTTGGAATGACATTTAAATCTGCTGAGATGTGCTTTTGTTAAAACTTGGAAACATCTGCTGTGAGTCTAGGTCCTTGCTCAGTTGAGCTTGCCATTGTGTGTGAAACTCTGACTCAGTGGCACTCAGCTAACGCTACTCAGAGGGGGCGTCTGACCGCGACAAGCCATGCACTCAGAGGCTCTCTGTGTCTCTTGGTGGCCATGAGTGCCCTGGGGACTTCCTACTGCTGATGGATGCCCTGTAGATGCCAAGAGGTCTGCATACAACAGAAGGTATAGATCAGGAGGGGCACTGTAGTGTAAAAACACCACGCTGTGACTGCACACTGCCCCTGGACTGGAAAGAGCCACTCCAAAGCTTAAAGCAAGCATGGTAAAGAGATCTGAATCAGGAGGTGGGTAAACTAGGTGCCATGACTGAACCCTGCAAGAGTCCAAAGACCCGTTCTTTGTGCTTGATTGGAATGTATTCCACAGTGCCAAATGGACGCTCAGCCTGGGAAGGTTGGTTGGCCAACATCAACTGCGTCTCAGCTACAGTGTCACAGACCATGAATGCTGTTGGCTGGCCTTCTAGAAGTTTCCCCTCACCCAAGGGAAACTACGTTTCTCTGGGCCCACAGCCTTGGGGATAGTGACCTTTAAATGGCTGGGTCATTATTGGGAAATACTACTCCTCATTCTTCTATCTACCATCAGGTACGTTTGTTCTGAAAAACACTTAAGTGGAGTCAGGTCAATTTTGTTTTCAAGACTTTATGAAACATCCTTTCCTTCCATTGCTGCTACCTCTTCAGAGCAATAGAAACACCTAGGATGTCTCAGATCAAGGCTGAGACATACCAGACCGCACACCCGGACAGGAGAAACACAAAGCAGTCCTCAGCTCCAGAATGAGGGGTCCCACTTCTTACTCCACAAGAGCTCATTCTTCATCGTTCCTCAGTGGCATTTTAACAGAACAGTACGATGGAGTTAAATTAAACCTAAAGAATTGGGATGAAATGCTTATTACTTTATGGCAAAGAGCTTTTATTACAACGTGTTTGAATATTGTGTTGGATTTATATTTAGTTGATGCTCACAGACTCATAAAAGATCTCAATTATAAATGCATTTGTTTTTAACATAAAATTTGTTTGATTTTTTATTTCTGCTGTGAACAAAGGTTGGCTGGAATTACTGTCTGCATTACAGTCTGTGGAGGAAAGGGAATCCTGAGCAGTAGTTACTCAGAAATAGTGAGTCTTTGCTGGGCTTGCTTAGACAGCACGGTTTAACACTAAGAAGTAAACCCCAGGCCTCCTGGTAGCAGTTTTGGCTGTGAAATACACTCACAAGAGTGACCATCACCATCTGTCATTATCAGCCTGCTGACATTTATAAACATAAAAAAAACCAGGCATCTCACAGGAGAGAAGAGGGTTTCACTGGAAGTTTTAGAATAAGTACAGAATGGTAACGATTGGCAGCTTTGCTATTCTGTTCTCAACAAATGGGGAGTGATAGTGCTTAACAATTCAGTAGGGAACTGAACTAATGATTCCTAGGAACGGAGGGGAATGCTGCCCCTCTCTGCCCATGCGCAGCTGCAGAACCTTAGCAGTCTTTCTCAGACCCAGTATAATCTGACCATCCCTAGTGTCAAGCGTTTGAGGCCGTCTGCGAAGTGAGAGATGAGATGGAGAGTAAGCACTCACTTATCCAAACTCCCTTTGTGCTTAACCAAATGTCAGAGTAAGACTAAGGACTTCAAGTTCTTGTTGTATGAATAGAAGTCAAGTGTGAGTTCACTCAGGATTGTGAACCGTGTTGATTTTTCCCCCACAATCCTTCACCCAGGATTGTGAACCGTGTTGGTTTTTCCCATGTCTAATAATAAGACATGAGCAAGAAAGAAGCACTGACTGCATAACACTGCTTCCATGCACATACCAGGGTCCCATCCCTTTTCGTCTTCCTTGTTAATGGGATTGGGTGAGGTTATTTATTACTGGACTTGTTCTACATCCATTTTTACATAAATATTCTGCATTCTGTATTTTTCAGAATCAAGGAAGAAAATCCTTGCAGGTGTAGAGTGTCTGCCTACCTGAGGATAATTCTAGTTTCTATTGTGCAAATTGCCCACCTCAGAAACAGTGCTTGCTGTCCTCCTCCTCTCCCCTCCCCTCCCCCCCCCTTCCTCCTCTCCTTCTTTTTCCTTCCTTCCTCCTTTCCTTCCTTTCAGTACCGGGAATCAAACTCAGGACCTTACGCTTGCCATGCAGTCACTGTGCCACTGAGCTATCCCTGGCCCTTGTTTCCTAACAGATATGTCATTAGCAAAATTTTTGATAGATCCTGGAGAGCTTTTTTACACTTAATTCCATAAAACAAAAATGGTTTATTTTCTGTTTTTCCTCACTTGATTCACTGATAATACATCATCCCCCTCGCTCTTCTTAGCGAACGTGTGTACAGGATCATTTCTTTTTTTTTTTTTTTTGGTTTTTCTCCGGTACTGGGAATCAAACTCACGACCTTGCGCTTGCCAGGCAGGCGCTGTGCCGCTGAGCTAAATCCCCAGCCCCTACAGGATCATTTCTGTTCCCCCTTTTCCATCATTGTCTTCTGTTTAAATTTAGCTTTCTTATGGCTTAACTTTAAGAACTTCAGATTTTATGGATATCAGACGGATATGTATTTGAGGGGTACCCTTTCTCATGGGCTGAAGGAAAATTAATGGTTGTACAACTCAAGAGAGGCCTAAGAACATTTGCTAGGCACTTGAATTTGTGTTCCAGCCTGTTGTTTTAAATTTCATGCTGAGGTTGAATCCACAGAGGGTGAACTAATAGCCCAGCCCATTTTATTATATTATTTTACTTTAGTTTATTTTAGACAGGTTCTTCCAACATAGCCCAAACTGGCCTTAAAGTTGTGAACTTCCTGCCTCAGCCTTCTGAGTAACTGGGATTACAGGCATGTGGTTCACACCAGCCTAGTCTATTTCTCTTAGTGGTAAATGATCTGAGATGTGTTACCTGTCCCCTTGCCATGGTATTTCCTAAGGTGTATCATTGAGTTGGCTTGCTTACCATTATGAATAAAGCATGTTGGCTGTCCTGCTGAATCCTCAGCCATCCAGACCACTGTGGCTTATTATCCCCATCTTACAGATGAGGAAACAAGGACGTTACAAGGACGGGCAGCTGACTGAGGTTGGAGAGCTAGGAAACTCCACTGCCTGACTCTGATCCACTCTTGGTTTCAGCTGCAGCTGCCCCCACTCAGGGGACCATCGTTGTCACCCATGTGACCCAGGGCTCATCTGCCTTCTCCCCTTCCTTGTCTTGCAGGAGACACGATCTTCATCATCCTGAGGAAACAGAAGCTGATCTTCCTGCACTGGTACCACCACATCACTGTGCTCCTGTACTCCTGGTACTCCTACAAAGACATGGTGGCTGGGGGAGGCTGGTTCATGACCATGAACTACGGCGTGCATGCGGTCATGTACTCCTACTACGCACTGCGGGCCGCAGGCTTCCGCGTGTCCCGGAAGTTTGCCATGTTCATCACCCTCTCCCAGATCACGCAGATGCTGATGGGCTGTGTCATCAACTACCTGGTCTTCTACTGGATGCAGCATGACCAGTGTCACTCTCACTTTCAGAACATCTTCTGGTCCTCACTCATGTACCTCAGCTACTTCGTGCTCTTCTGCCATTTCTTCTTTGAGGCCTACATCGGCAAAATGAGGAAGACCGCCAAGGCCGAATAGTGTCGGAACTGAGGAGGAAGCCACAGCTCAGGGTCATCAAGAAAACTAACAGACAAAAGAAAATGGCACAAGGAATCACACATGGTGCAGCTACAACAAAACAAAACAAAACACACGAGCAGACACAAACCCCGAGGCAGCTTAGGGATAATTAGGTTGACTTAACCCAGTAAGTTTATGATCCTTTACGGGTGAGGACTCACTGCGTGCACCGCCATCTCCAAGCACTGCTGCTGGAAGACCCCACTCCCATACCTTACCTGTCACCTCTCGACAAATGACAACACAGAGATCTCGAGGCAGAGAGACCAGAGAAAGCAGGCAAAGGCTGTCAACACTCTATGGGAAAAAGATGTAGCTAAGTGTTACGTTTCTCTAAGGATGGAACAATGTCACTTTCAAAGCTGTGCGAGCACACACACACACACACACACACACACAAATCCTTTCTGATCCTTTCAACACAAAACTGGAGCCAGTAGAAAAGATAGTAACGGAAGAGACACAGGGTCTATATCTAGAACAATAATGCTTTTGCAGAAATTCACACCTTTTACAGAAAGGTTAGCTCTTGTAGCTCCATGAGAGATGTCTTAATCACTTTTTATTTCCAATAGAAAATAGATTGATATTTCCCCCCTCACTGCGCAGCCTCGGGCTGATGAGTTTGCCAAAACCACACGGGATTCAGTACTTTCCCTGGGCCACCCAGACCCAGGCCAGAGCATTCCCGCTATTTCTACTCCGAAGTAAGATGCACAGCGTTCACTTGCCCCAGACTTGAACGCAAGAACAGATGCAGAAATGAAAGCGGAAATAAGGCAAAAACAATACCAGACGACTTGAATGAGGAGTCGTTCCTGCCCATAACAACGCTCGGCCCGACTCCCCGGGCTGGAAGAGGCCAGAGACGATGGGAAGACACAAGCTGGAGAACATGCTGCAGACGGACAATATTTATGCCTTTTCTTCCGTGACTTCACACATGCCCCCGCTTCCAAATGCAGCCCTGTGGGACGGTCCGTGTTTTCTAGATTTTTGTGAGTTGCAAAAAGAAGCGTTTTGGGCTCTGGCTAAGTTGGAAAGGACTCTGTCCCCGCAACATCTGCATTAGCTCCCCAAGCAATGCAGAGGCGTCGGAAGCGCCCTCTGCTGGCTGAGGGGAGAGACTGCAACCAATGCACATCACGGTAGATCACAGAGAGCTCCTTAGATGAATCCTTCAAATTTTAAATGATATCAAACACCTATCATGTCTTTGGCCGAATACGAAGACAGCTTTCCTGCTTCAAGTGAGCGTCAAGAAAAATTTTTGAAAGGGACTTTTGCTCTGGAACTCAGAAAATCAATTTATTAAGAGCCATATTCTTTTTTTTTTTTTTTTTTTAAGCTAGATTATATTATCTATAATATTTCAGGCCTCTACAAGCCAAATAAATGTGTCAATGTTACTAGTATTTCAAAGAAACAATTATGTAAAGTTGTTCAATGTGATATAATAGTATTCTAATTGGTTAAGTAGCTTAATGATTAGGCAAATTAGATGAAAAGATTAGGGGCTACTACACTGCATAGATTACACACAAGTAACCATACATATATGCACACACAGGTGGGGCTCAGTGAGCCCCAAAGCCCAAATCAATAGGAACACATTTTCTGGCTAGCAGAAACTGTTGTTTATCTTTCTTGCTTTATTTTGAGAGTGTACAGTAAAAGGGATTTTTCAAATTATTTTTATATTATTTTAGCTTTAATTGTGTTGTCATTCATGAAACAGAGTGGCTCTGCTTTTCTGTCAGAGATGGCAAGAGCTTTTTCAGCATCTTGTTTATGTGTGAAATTTAAAAAGAATAAAGTTTTATTCCATTCTGTGTGAATGGCTTGAACTGTGAACAGGGGATCCATGCAAAGCAAGTCATGACCTCAGAGGACGGAGACAGGGCTGTCCGGGGAAGGAAGCCATTACATCCATGTGACATAACTGTGCACACTCCAGTGCCCTGATGTTGATTCTTAGAGGAGAAGAGATAGGTCAAGAGATCTACTACCACAGGGCGAAATTTGGACCTGAGATGCAAAGATTGGTCCTGCTAAAACTAAAGGATTCTTAGGTTGCAGATGTTCCTGTGAACTTTGCAGCTATCTGATAATGTGCAATAAGCCTTTTTCTTCCCCTTTATTATAGGAAATGAACAGAATAATTAAAAAGAAGAAAAGGCCACATATCAGTTGACTTGAGTTAATAAAGGGATCAGTTAGAGGCTCCTCTGGTTGCTTTAATTATATAATGCAGTGATTTATCATAGAGCACAGATTAAAACAAGGACAGCAGCATAAACCTTAAAAAGACTCTACAAGGATGCTTCCAAAGCACTTTCATCTTGATATTAGGGTCATGCTTGTGTTCATTTGTAAAGTAACTTAGAGTTTTTGTTTACAGATTGAATGTCTCATAGTTTTTACCTAGCTAATTATATCTGAAGGCATTTCCGATGTTTATCATGGGAAGAAAAAAGCCACACATTAAAAAAAAAAAATAAGTCTAGTATTGCAGGTTCCATACACTGTTTTTAACATCTCAGCTTTGCTGCTTTAGTTAAATGAAGAGCTGAGGCTGGACCCCTGGCCCATGACCAACCGGAAACCTACCAGAGAATTGACTGCCACATAGAGAATCTTACTGTCAGTTAACATTCCAGAAAAACTTGGGCAGACAAATTTTTATAGCTGCCCCACTATGCTGCAATAGGTTATCTTTCTATTAAAGATTTTCCACGGCATTCCAATCCCAGTGTGGTGAAAACATTCCTGGATCAAATACAAAATCCTTGATTTCCTATACACATATATAACATTTCATGCACTCTGTCAGAGCTTAAACTCAAATGCGTAGTGAGAAATGCCCTGTTTGTACAGCAGAGGATTTTATCTGGACCTTCTAGTGTTGCTTATGAGAAAAGAACAACTATTGTTATTTATTTATTGTATTTATATCCAGTGCTAGCCCAAAGTACCAAATTGAAATCATACATTAAGGCTACTATTCCAGGTAATTTATTCCCATTTTTTCCTAATCATATGCACTACACAAATGCGGGTTTGGGGAGAATACATGCATGTGTGTTGGTTGAGGAGAAAGATGCTCTGTTTTCTTAGAGAGGCTTGTTTGTCCAGTGACTGATATCTTGACTCAGCTGGAAGCCTTGAATATAAAAACATTAGGAACCTAGGAGAACACTTGTAGTAGGGAGACTCACAGATTTCCTTTTTAATTGGCTGTAGTATCTTGTGATACCGCAGAGTCTATTGCAACAGAGTAACAAAGCATCCGGAGCTGACTGCACTGGAGTGAAAGGTTCCAAAGGTCTGGGTGTGTTCCCAGACTGCTGAGTTACCTGGGAGAGGCGAAATGCTCAGGTTCTTTTCTTTTTCTCTTAGAACAAGCTCTACTCAGACAATGTGTGTGTGTCCCAATGAGTCAGCTGAAGCCCATTCTGAGGGCTTTTTTCCCAGCTTGGACAATGGTTCTTTAACAGCGTCATTGGGTTGACCCAGTGGTGATTCCAGGGAGCTCGTGGGAGGATGGAGGAAACCAGACAGATGTGGCCTCCCAGACTTTGGAGCGCTTAGTCATATGATCATGGTCCATGCTCGTCTTGCTTTGACACTTCCCTGGACCAGTTTCCATCCTGAAAAGCGACACGTGTGAGAATACCATGATGCAAGCCTGAAACTTTGCAGTAGTCAAATGTATCTTTCTCCAATCTTTTTGTCTTCGGTAATAAATATTTTGCTATTCACTTGGGATGCTGGTAGAGCCTGTTCTGTTCTATCCTTGTCTCCTCAGCTCTTGAGAGTCTTCTGTCCCTTTTATATTTACATACAACACCCAGTTCTTTGTGCCTCAGACTCATTGCCAGCAGGGAGGAGTTTTGCTAGGAATGCACCAGAGCATTTGACCTGCCCTGTTCATGCACAAAGTGACAGCTGATAAAGCAAGGGCACCCCATTTTGCCCTGGCAGTCGGTAGGAAGTGCTAAGTCTGAACTCCTGCACATTGGTGCCTGATGATGCAAAGCAGGTCAGTGTAGTCCCCGCATCTTGGATGCCCATGGGGACAGCTGCAGTTACAAAGACCTGCAAGTCCTACGGCAGAATCTAGCTGAAGAACCCAGTTCAGAACTCCTGTGCAAAGCGTCAAAGATTGTGCTAAGCCTGTAGAATCATCAGGTTACTTTCTTGAACAGTCAGGGCTGCGGGGAGAGTGCAGGAGGCCCCCTGTCCTCCCTGTGTTGTTAGGGTGACAGCTGTTGTTCTGGCAGGGCAGAGGGACAGGGACAGCACATTCATGAGTGTGAGGGCTGGAGGAGGGCTCAGTTGCTGCACCTTGATTTTCAGTCAGGCAGGGGAACCCCACAGTCGAGTCCTTATCACCAGAACGCCACACCTGTAACTGCACAGTCAGTCGTGAACTCTTCCTGCAGTTAAAGACACCAGTTCCATGGATAAGGGTCCAGTGATAACTTCAGCCCGTTGAGGGCACAACTGTGACATCCTGGCTCCTGTTGGTGTTTTAAGTGCTGTTGCTTTTCCGATGCTTGGTGGCATTTGGGATTTTTCCTCCCAGTGGACAAAAATCAAGAAGGCTATGTAAGTAGCCTAACAGTGCTTCCTGGCCTGTGGTCATGATTGTTTCAGACCCACCTGCGGAGTGAGGGGTGTTCGGGCTGCTCCCAGCTACACTGAGAACTGCTGGACACGCAACTGGAGGGGCCCAGTCTGTTCAGAGGGAGACCCGCCTGGCGCAGCCTCAGCAAATCCTGGCAATGTTGGAATTGTTATTTTCAAGTGCTTATTTCACAACATTAAAAGAAATATTTTTTGGTGTATGAAGATTAAAAAAATAAAATCATAACTTGATTTGAAATCAAACTGTGTTTTCTGGTTTCTTTCATCACCTGTTCTGAGCAGTTTGATGGAGACACCTGACATGGAGGACTCAGAATCCTCAGAGGTGCAGTCAGGTCCCTGGGCCACTGCCTGTGTGCTCATGGGGGCCACTGGTCACTCTGGCAGTACCAGTGATGCGTCCCCAACTACCCCCACCACCCTCCCACACAGGCGCAGGTGTCACATTTTACAAATGACACGCCTTCCGCCTCACCCTCACCAGAGCGGGCTAGGGGGCCGACAATCTGAATTGGCTCCCGGTTCTACAGATGAAAAAATGTGCTTGCTAGATCCAGAATAGCAGAAGAAAAGAGATGTGAACAAACATAAAATCCTTCACTCCAATTCTACTGCCGCCTTTCAGTCTTTGGGAAAGCAATAGAAATAAGTGAACACAGACCCTGCTACTCCACATTGAACTTTGCTTCTGACAGAAAGTATGGCAAATCAGTGTGGGGAGACTTCAGAAGCACAGGCCTTAGTCACAGCTCCAGAAGTCTCCCTGGTCCTAAGGCTATCTGGCCTTCAAATTGTACGTCCTGGTAGGTACTTTGGAGGTTCCATAGCTTGTGTCACTTCTTATGGCCCTTTGGAGCCACTAGACAGGGACACAGCACTTTCTCGATAACACTGATGATTAAGACCCAAGAACCCAGCCCACATAGTTTTCCACCATCAAATGATGTCTGTTTTTGCATCTGCAGGTATACTGTTAAAACGGAGATTTTTATTCCTCTTAACATGTTTCCTTAATGGTGTAAAATGGGGGATCCATAGTGCACACAAAATATTTGTATTAACTTCAAAATAACGGGAGGAGAGGGACCCAGCCTTAGCAAGTGTTTCTGTTTTGATACCAAAGTCCCAGAAACATACAAGTGACTACTGCATAGCTTCTGATACATGTCTCAGGAATGGAAGCCTAAAATATGAATAAATCCATTAGTGAAGTGTGCAAACACTTATATCACAGTCTAATAACAAAGATCCTGACCTTATAGAACTCCAAGGCCAAGAATGATGTAGCATGAGTTTTGGTGTTTTGTTTTGTTGAGACGGTCTGGTCTCACTATGTAGTTCAGACTGGTCTTGAACTCACTTTGTAGCCCCAGGCTGGCCCCAAACTCACAGTGATCCTCCTGCTTCAACCTCCTGAGTGCAGGGATTACAGGCATGCACCACCACACCCAGACTATGTGTTATGATTGAAAAGTATAATGAATGTTTAAATTTTAAACACTAATCACAGTAAAGGGCACATTGCCTGAATTCCCCTTCAAAAGACTTTACTCCCTTGGAAAATAATTGTCCCATCATTCTTGCCACTTTCTGAGATAGCTCTGAAGTCCTCTTGCAAGTGGTTTTAGTTACAGTGTCCTGGTTACCTCGATGTCCTAAATCAGTTCAAAATGGTGACATTTCATGGTCACTTTGATTTTGGGGAAAAGCCAGAAGTCTCATGGTGCTGGATCCAGTGAGAAGCTAGATGCAGACAAATTTTAAATGTACCTTTCTGTTAGATCTCAGTAAGCAGCATGCACAGTATTTTTATCACACCTTGTAAAACCACAGAAGAGGCCTTTCACAGCTGCTTCAGAAAGTGCCAAAATGATGGGATAAGTGTGTGGAAAGAGAGGGAGAGTTTCTGAGGGAGATTCTCAGCCATGTCTCTTTCACTGTAATAATTCTTTAGAAATTTAAACTCCCACTATGTATTTTGATTATGCCTCACATCACACAGCAACCTTCCTAAGAAAGGAAACAATAGTCCAAACTTAAGTAACAGTACTCTTGACTGTTTGAGTTTTGTTTTTGTTTGGATTTGTTTTTAGAATGAGGAAAGTTAGTGGGGTGTCACATCCTATGGTCACAATGGTTGTAGTAAGTCTACAGCCAGGACACTGAAGATAACTAAAAGGGCTCCCTGCAGTCTACCAGTAGCTGATTCCTCTTCAGGCTGCAGAGATCTGGGTAGGTTTCAGTTCTTTCCAGACACCTCTCCCTAAGACCAAACTGGGAGACCCAGCTGAGCAAGGCTCCCGCTGTGTGTGTGTGTGTGTGTGTGTGTGTGTGTGTGTGTGTAAGGTACTCCCAACCCCTGAAAAATGACATAGCACAGAAATACATATGTGCTGTCTGCCTCTCAGTCCATGTGCCTGTAACGTCACTAATTGAGGGGTGTGAGTGTGATGAATGATGTTCTGACATAGACACAATTGGGCCCTGCTACAGATCTGACGAGGCTGTTGTCTAATGAATCATTTTGTTGTGATCCTGTGCTGTAGCTTGGATCTGTGGTGTGGCAGGAAGTCCTTAGGTCATTGGAGGCATGTCCATGAAAGGGACTATGGGATCCTGGCCCCTTCTTCTTTTTGTCTGTTGCTTCCTAGCGAAGGGATGAATGTTTTTGCCTCACTGTGAGCTTCTGCTGCCTCAGTACAAATCCAAAGTAATAGTGCCATCCAGTCATGAACTGGTCCCTCCAAAATAACCTTTTTGTCTTTATAAGTTGATCACCTCAGTTATTTGTTATAACAGCGAAAAGCTAACAACCTTTTATAGTTGTATATTCTTTTTATATATTTTCTACTTTTCCTTGTTTTTCATCTAATAGTTAAAGGAAGGCATCTTTAGGATTCTTACCTTCTGCACTTATGCATTGCAGAGTATGTATTTATATGGGAAAAGATCATATATGTACACACTACAGAAATGCTACGGCAGCCACAGGGTTAAGTACAGGTGACTCATCCCCCACCCCACCCCCTGCACACCTCCCTGCCCTCTCCCTGCTGGATTCTGTGATCTTTGGTATGTTCAGCCCCCCAGGGTGGAAACCATGTGCTGCACTCTGGGGTTTCACACACAGCTTCCTTTTCTACCGACTATACTAATTCCTTTCATACAAGAGGGAAAATCTGTTGCCCTGGGTGTTTCTCTGCTGTTTTATTTATGAAAACTCCAGTGGGTGTTTCTTAAAGCAGCCAGTATCTCTCTATGAAAAGAAGGAAAACAGTGTCCACAATGCCTGGGCTGTTCATAGTTACTATAAAACACCGGAGTATTTTTGCAAACGAGTACTTCCTCTCCAAATTAAAAGTGGCTCTAATTTCTACTGAGCTTTAGAATAATAAAACTGATAGAACATAAATAAACCCACTGAACTTCCAAACTGATTTAGGTGGTCCTGCCGGCTTATTTGTCCCTTCACAGGTAACCTGACTTTCCCTAGGAGCCAACAGTCTAGAGAGAAAATTTTTACCTGGGGTTGTGTCTCCTTCTGCTGCACTGCCTCAGGTCCTGCCAGATCTTTGCATCTATTTCTAGACGTGGCCAGGAGGGAGATCAGGCTGTCCATCAGGCCCCTGTGGCCCTCCCAGCCATAGCTTTGCTCCATGGGGCCCTGAAATCCCTCTGTCTGCAGAACCAGGTCCTGCTGCTTCCAAAGAGCATCCCCTATGTCTCAGGCTCATCTCCCTCTGCTCTTCAGTGGCACAACACGCCGCTTTCCCTGGGTCAGGTGCTCTGCATGAGAAAGCTGGCCCATCTCTCAGAGAAGCCTGACATGCATCTAGGGACCAGAGGATAGAGTGGGACTTTCTCTTCTCTGCCCAGCATGAGCCAAAGCTTTTGCCAGTAAACAGACTTCTGTAGCCACCATACCAGTTCCTAGACAGCCCTAGCCATACTGGAGTCCAGCAGAGGTCAAGTTCCTTTTATAGAAGCCCCTCAGCTGCCCTCATCATAGGTGCAGCCATCTCGAGAACCACTTTAATTCACCTCAGGCATCCAGAAATCTACGACAAGGAATCAGGACTCCAACTCTAGGCAGTGCAGCATGCGAAGGCCCAAGTTCCACCTGGCTCCAGCTGCACTCCAGCCCTTACCTCAGTGTAGCTGGCACTGCCAGACATGCAGAACCTGAAAGCAGACCCTGAGGAGCTTTTACAGCACTGTCTGAGATTGGACAGGGCTCCTTTGGTGAGTGTTCAAAAGGCATTGATGTTGGACTCAGTAAGTGAGATCACTCAGTAAGTGGATCACTCAGTAAGTGATCACCATAAAAACTATTGATCTAGGAGAAGCTGACGATGAGCTAGAGGATATTCACTAAGAAGTCATAATGCAGGGTCAACACAATGGTCACTGCACAACCACATATTACAGATCCTATGTGAAGGATGCAAAGTAGTGGATAAAAATGGAGTATCTTGGTGGCAGCTCCACCCTGGATGTATTAGAACCTGGCCCTTTAGATGAAACTCAGACTGCTACATAGTAAGAGAAGTCCTGAAGAGGCATACTTGATTATCTGCTGCATTCAGAGAAGAAAGTCCTTAGAGCCATTACAGAGGCCCACATTCTGCCCTGTGGGTGTGGACAGGGGAAGCTGGCTGACTCGGAGGCGAGTGGACAGATGTCCAGATAACCAGCAGCCCCATGGCCAAGCCTCGAAGGCAGACATATGGCCGCTGGGCCTCAGAACTATAGAACTGGCAAGGGTTGAGCCACTCCATCCAGATCTGCATGCCATGGTTTTCTTCCTCTGCCCAAAGGACAAGCCCCAACACTGGGAGGAAACTGTGGCCAGCCCCTCCAGAAGTTTGTGGAGGCACAGCCAGGTCAGCTGTCTTACCTTCAGGGAGGGAGGATCCATAGCTTCTGCAGACAGCAAGCCTCATGTTACAGTGTGGGCTTTGCCCCCTGGTGACAAGGATGAGTTCTTTGATGCCTTTCAAGTACTAATATCTGCTTCCTATAAGCCTTTCTCCCCAATCTCTTAGCATCTATTTTGAGAATTACTGTTATTCTCTGTCTTCCCTATGTATTAATTAAAATATTTTGCTTTAAAAAAAATCATTCTCTGTCAGCTACAGCAATTCAGGCATACGGAATTATCATTCATACAGATAGCATAGATAAATCCTTGATTTTTTGTTTAAATTACCAGGTTTCAGGGTGTTAATTCAATGTACC